CTACCTATCATATTTAATATTCTGGCAGCCATGGGATTTGTCTTGTGCAGAGCTGAAAGACAAAACAATTCATAGAAGGAAGCTGAAGATAAGTGCAATGGACATAATGGACATAAGCACAAGTGTTTTATTGAATGGGATGTCAGAGAGCCTGAGAAATGAGTGATGGGCACCAGGTATGTTTAGGAAGGAAATGTCATTCTCTGAAGATGCTGTGGTGGAATCCTGTTGCTGCTGTTTTTATTGAAGCTTACTGTTACCTCATTGAAAGGGGGAGAAGTTTTCTGTACTCTCCGTTCAGGATGGGATTGGGGGGAAGGAACAGCTGGAAATATTTTGGTGAATTTCTGTGCACAGATGTTGGAGAAACTGTCTTCTCATGCAAACACAGATTTCTGGCTGCAGCAGTTACAGGCTTCACTGGTAGCAACAGCAAAAAATATCCCAGGTGAAGAACACAGGGATGGCTTTATATTTGCCTCATCATGTCTGTGTTATTACTTCAGCCACAAGCACAAAAAAATAGATAATTTGAGTTAGGGTATGAAATCTTTGCTGATGAATTCTGCTGGGACTGGTAGCATTACTAAAACACTGCCTCCAGTTCTTCCCTCTGCATTTCAAGAAAGGTATGAATATATAAAGGAAAACTTAGAAAAGAGCTGCTCTTTCTGGTGACCACTTTAAATTATCCCAAAGGACAAATTCTACCCAATGTCTGGGCAGCAAGGTAGGGTGGCTGTTGTCTGTAATCTAACCTATGGATGACTAACTTTGGAATGCTCCTTCACAAACCCAACTTCCCTGGAAACTGGAGAGGAAACTTCAATTGCTCTCAGTCTGCCCAGAACTAGAACAGCTCTGCATTAAGGTAAGGACTGTCATTAAAATCAGCTTGGCCTGCCTTACCTTAACTCCATGGAACCACAAAGCAGATAACTGCAACAGATTTGCCCAAACAGCTATTTTTTCCTGAGGAGTTGCCAAAACGTCTCTATTGTTCTTTCAAAAGTCTCTGAAGATCAATAAAATCACTTACTAAGTTGATGCCTTCACACATTTTCCCTGGAACTGGCAGAGAAAAGAGTAACAACTTGTGCCACCACATTCAGCTCTGACACTGCTCAGTACCTTCATCCAAATATATTTAATGGATGAGGGTACTGAAGAAACTTGCAGAAAGAAATCTGATGTGCTGTAGATGTCACAAAGACTCATAATTTAGTTTCCAGGGGTGGGCAGGTGAGAAATCTCTTGGTAATTTGCCTTAGACTAGAGAATACAAGTGCATGTCCAAACAGTATCAATTGATGGACTCACAGGTTGTTAATTAAAGTGTCTATTTAGCCATAATATTCAAGTTTGAAAAGCATCTGGCTGCTGTCAGGCTTGCTTTTAGCTGGTGGTAGCTGATGAAAGTATTTAAATACAGTTCCTGCATCTTTGAAACTTTTATCATAAATATTGAATAATTTGTTTTACTTCCAACACAACAGATCCATGTCTAGCCATGACCCTGACCTCTGCCTAAATGTCTCAGGTTGCTTGGTGTGCTCTTCTTATGGGAATAGTCACTCTAAACATGAATTATAAAAGCATATTTTGGGATGTCTTCCTGCACCACCTAAGTTGTGAGGATTTCTCATGTTGAGAGAGAATGTTCAGCTCCCTGATGGCTTTGGGCAGTGACATTGCAGATGACACACTTGTCAAGCACAATAACCTCTGGTATGTTCAGGGATAAGATGAAATTATGATGTTCTCTTTCTGGTACCTTTCGTAGAATCACAGAATGATTTGGGTTGAAAGGGACTTTAAAGATCATCTAGTTCCCACCTCCCTGCAAGGAGCCTTCCATTAGAGGTTATTTCTTGTCAAATAACTTATTTATTTACACATGGGGTCTCTTTTGAGCCCTGAGGAAAGAGTGGGTAGTGCAAACATTGCAAGGTGAGCAATAACTGAGGAACTACAGAAAGTAAAAGGACAATTTCCACAAAACCTTGGGGGATCCTGCTCTGAGGATTACAGTGCTACCACAAAAGTGGAAAAAACTCTTATTTCCCAGGGGTTTGTTTCATTCTGTTTCCACACAAGGACAGTGACACATGGAGATGTAAAACAGAAATCTGCACGATCAGTAAGGAGGCAGTGCTGGTTTGTACTCTACAGCTGACCCTCAGAAATTCCCCGGGAGCTCCACATTCACAGTATTTGCTCACTGGACAGATCCAATATTCCTTTGTTTCTGCTGTTCTCTGATTTAAGTATCAAACTTCACAGACAGAAAGGAATATTCTTCCTCTGTGTTCCAAGCATTCCTGAATTTCTCACAGAGTTCACAGAAATCCAGGGAGTTTTACCTGGAGGAATTCACAGTTCCAGATTAACAGAATTGTTAAAAGCTCCCACCTGTTCACTGCTTTAACTCATCACCACTTACAGACTTATTAAAGGAACTCTGCATTCCCTCAGGAGCTGAACTGGCTTTTGGACAAATCCAGCAGGAAGAAGCTGCAGCAGCTGGATGTCACCATTCTCCCTCCAACCCTGCAACAGCCTGCTAAGGCAATTTTAATCCTTAAGCAATACTAAAGAATTAGTCAGACTTTTAAATTATCCCTATGGAGAATTCAGGTGGTTTTGTATGCTGCTGAGGTGACATAATCACCAAGGATGTGTTCAGGCCAGGTGTGATTTTGCCAAAATTTCTGCCTCTGCAAGAGAAACTAAGTGTTCATCTTTGAAGTATTTCTAGGTATGGACAGAGAACCCGGTGTTGCATTCAAAGATTTTTTAATTGCAAAGATCAGAGTGATTAACGTTTAAAATTCTCTTACATGGCTTTTGCAGTCTTTCCTTCCTTTCCAATATATTTTATTATTATTAATAATATATTTAATATTATTATTAATATATTTTTATTTTTATCCTATTTCTAATTATTCTATTACAGTATATTTTATTTTGCAAGAACAAAGCAGTCTTACCTCTTCTCTAAAAAACATTTCATTTTACAGTGCTATAGAGAAATGCTTGAACTACCCCTCTGGAAACTCCAAGCACAGGAGAACAATATTTTATTTTTTTTTCCCCCACAACAATTAAGGTCTGTCAGACAGCATAACAGTCAGCAAACAACCACTTACTGAGACCTCTGGCTAACTTGAAAGCCCAGGACGGGAAAAAAAGACTTGTGACACTTTTCTTCTGAACAATTTGGAATGAATGTAGTACCTGTGTGCTGACGTGGGCGAGTTTTACCTGCTCCACTGAAGAGTGGCCACATCCCAAACCACAGTAAATGCTGCCATCTAATGGAGCCTGATCACTCAACAAAAGCTGTTGGCTCCTTCCAGAGCTCACTCCATCTCACACTGAATAAAATTTATAGTTTCACCTGACCAGCATCACTGTGCATGGAACAATCCAGGCTGGACAGGAGACAGACCCTCCTGGTGTCCCTGCATCCCACTGAGCCCCGAGTCCTCCTGAGAGCTCTGCAGATTTTATTTTTTTTTTATGAACAGAAGCTGGTTCTGAAAGCAACCACAGAATCATTTAGATTGGAAAAGACCCCCAAGATCATCAAGTCCACCCTTTGATTGAACACGTCCATGCCCACCACGTGCCACATTCACTCATTTTTTGAGCTCTTCCAGGGGCAGGAACTTGACCACTTCCCTGGAAAGGTTGTTCCAATGTTGGACCATAATAAATCTAGTTCAGGTTATACTATATCTGAGCTCTTTAACTCTTAGCTTGCCTGTGCCTTTATTTGTCCCAAAAATAGCTTCATTATGACTAAATCTGTCCTATTTTAGGAGTATTTAAGAAGCTAAATGACAGCAAAAATTCATTATCTTATTGTTCTTTATATTCTTGGCCTGAAAATGATAAATCTTTTCTGCCTCCCTGTGAACAGCAAAATATTTTCAGTTTTCTTGTGCTAATAGGTGGCTACTTTGGGGAAATTATATTACTGTTGTTCTGCCCCTCAATAATAGGTTATCTTGTAATAAATGAAATTGAAGATACTTCTTAGAAAATAGACAAAAACATGTTAAGCATCTGAAGTCTTTATTGGAGAATCTAAACCGGTCATATTCCAAATTGAAAAAAAAACCCAGTAAAATATTATTACACATTGTTCATACTTTTTTTTTCAGAATCAATGAAATAAATGCTTTCTCTAAATTTAATAAATGCTACCTCACAAGATACACCATGAACTTCTTTTCAGATTAGTAAGTAGTGCTTTCTAGGGATAAAGTATAATGATGGAAGTTTACGTACAATTATTCCTTTCTGGAAACAATATCTCCTGCACAATGCTCTTTGATTTTAATTGTGATTACAACAATTTTCATACACTGAATGATACAAAGAACAAATCATGTACAACTTTCAGGCACAGGCAACTGAGGATGATCTGTTAAATCCCTTAAGGTGCACCTCAAAAATTCTTAGAAATAAACAAATCTATTCAAAGATATGAGGAAGAGGATGGTACCAAAACCATCAAAATTAGCGGCTGATTATACCCAAGTGTCTTCAGTGAGCTCTTTTACAGAAGTGCAGTTCTTACTTAATTTTGCTACAATAAAGCCTTTTTGGAAATTTGGTTTTCCTTAAAAACATATACCTTATTCTATATCCTTGTGCGTTTATAAATAAGTGCCTACAACTGATCTTTTACAGACTTCTTCTGTAAGCACATGAACTAATATAAAAATGACAGCTGAAAAAATTAACTCACCAGATCCAGTGTGTGAGGAAAAAAATTCCTGTGGTTTGAGATTTTCCTCTAATATTTATGACATAGTTGTTCAAGGTTTAAGTGCTTTAAGGAGCATTTGCAAATCTGAACAATTACAATACTTGAAGGATGCTAGTATTATCCTAAATGTAGAGTATTTGTAGGATCAAAATATAGTCTCCATCTGAAAATAAGTGACACTGGTTTAATTGGAAATGCTGCAGCCAGGGGTGACCTCATGTCATTGCTTATTGCTGTTTGCCTCAGCAAAGCCATCATAACATAAAGGGAGGGATATGGAAGAAGCAGGACGTAATTTATCTGCCTTCCTGCCATGATTTTCATTCAGCAGTGATTCAAGAAGACTTTGCTTGTCCTGTATTTCCCGTTCAAAGACAGCACTGTTGTGTTTACAATGGTATAAGGACATATTTTGAAGAGAACGTTGTCTCAAGTACCTCCTGAAGGCCCTTTGAATAACAGAAGCTGACACTTCCTCTTGTTTTCTTTTAAGGGTAGAAGAAATTGGGCTGTAAGAACTTTTAGATGGATTTTCAGCTGCAATCTTTTCTTCCATGTTTAATTCAAGACTCTCCAGATCTCCAGATTCTCCCAAGACCCTTTTAGTGAAAGCCAGCAAGATATCCAAGCAGTGGATCTTATCTCCACTGACTATGGGGATGTCCATGGCTATGAGCTGGATTTTGTTGGGCTTTGGGATGCGCAAGGGGTCTGCCAGAGCATCTGCAAAGTCTGAGAGAGCAGAATAATCTATAAACTGCGTTGCCAGAGGGTCAAACTTTGCCCATGTCTCATAAAACATATCAAAGTCATCCTCACAAAGAGGATCTGTGCTCTCCTCAGTGGCAACACTGAAGTTCTCTAAAATGACTGCTATGTACATATTTACAACAATGAGAAATGATATGATGACATAGCTTACAAAATATAAAATACCAAAGCCCTTATTTACACAATTTTTTTTGTCTGTCACTGTTCCATTTAATTGGAGAGCACAATTATCAGATTCCTTTAGCACAGGGGCCAGAAGAGCATCCCAGCCAGCTGATGTGGTAATCTGGAAGAGGCAGAGAATGCTACCACAAAATGTCTGGAAGTTGAAAATATCATCAATCCCACCCTCCGAGGGGAGACAGGCAAAGTTTGCCATGCCCACGATGGCATAAATGAACATAATGAGGAAAAGCAAGAGGCCGATGTTGACCAGGGCAGGAAGGGACATCAGCAGTGCAAAAAGAAGAGTTCGAATCCCTTTGGCTCTGCGAACTATTCTCAGGATTCGGCCAACCCGCGCCAAACGAAGGGTTCTCAAAACCGTGGGGGAGAAGAAAGACTTAAACGCTTCAGAAACTCCAAGGCCTTGGAAAGGAAAAAGAAAACAAAGTGCTGTCAGGTCAAGTTGGTCAAATTAATGTCTGTTTTGTTACACTCTGTGTTTAGGTGTCGGCAGTAACGCTGATCGCATTACACTGGTCTCAATATAAACGTCATCAATTCTGAAACTGCTCAGATAAAAGCATAGGTAAAGAAAGAAAGATTGTAATATATTTCAAGATAAAATTGTAAATATTTTAATATCAAGATTTCTGCATAGCTTGGAAGCTGCATTCTTCCAAGTTTCTCTAATTTGGGGAGTGAATTTATGCATTCATTGCCCAAGTACCTAAAAAATCCTTTAAAATCCATTCAGATCTTGTGCTGGAAGCTCTGTGACTGCCTCTGAGCCACTGTCTGAGTGCTGCTTCTTCTTTAGGCTAAAGCCTAAATGTGAGACTTTGACTAATACTTGGCACTCAAATGAGATCAGAGAAGAGCAAGAAGGAAATAAGGAAAATTGTCTTTCAGTGTGTATCCCCCACAACACCTCATTCTATGACCTTGCTATCACAGCAATGACACGGTAACAATGCAAATTATTACAAACAGAAGAGTTAAGAAGTCATAATTTTTCTGGATTGTACAGGATGGCAAAAGGCTGCCATGCTTAGGCAAGAAGCAGAGAACTTAGCAGTTTCTCTTTCCCATCCTTTATTATATGATATGACCTGAGCCTGAGTAGGAAGAACAGACAAAATGAACTTTACAAGAAACTAGAGCTGTATATGACCCTTTGCAGGGTAAATGATAAGTATCTGGTCATATTTAAAGAGCCAAAAAAAATACAAGCCAGTTTTAATAATTTTTCTCAGTCACAAATAGTGGTCTGGGTTTAGTATGGTGTTGAGGAACCAAATTTTCCTGGGCTTTCCAAATCTGTAACTGGGCTCTGCCTTCTTAAGGGGAAATCCTGGAAAATCAAATTAATCCCCATTTTTGAGGCAAATTTATTTTTAACCTGGATTTTCTCTTCCTGTGAAAACAACAGCTAACATGACAACATATAAATTGAAAGCATAAAATGTTAGACAAGAGTTTAAGCACAATAACTTTAGAAAGATGTTACTGAATTAAATTAATATTCTGTTAATTCCTCAATAAAAATTATACTTTAAAAAATTGAACACTCTGTTTACCTTTTAGTACTCTGTAAGAATATAAGGGAAAACAAAAATGCATCGTTTTAGAAGGAATCACTTAGCAGATAGTCTGAAATAGTAAAATGGATCTGGAATTTGTTTATCAAACATATGTAGGTGGTTACTTCAAACTGGAATTTGGCTTAATATTGGTAAGACACATTACTTGACCTAGTGTTTGATACTTACTCACTATTGAAAGGATCACAACACTGAAATCAAACACGTTCCAGCCACTTCCAAAGTAGTAGTGCCTTAAGGCCAGTATTTTTAAGACACATTCTGCAGTGAATACAGCCACAAAAAAATAGTTGATTTTATTTAGAACATTCTTGGTGCCTTTGTCGTTGCTTTCTGCCATCATAACAATCATATTTAGACAGATGAAAATCACAATGGTGATGTCAAAAGCTTTGTGAGATACGATGTCAAACAGCAATCCTAAGAATGCATTCTGTGGAGAGAAGAAGAACTACTTAATGCCACTTCTGGGATCCAGCCTGCATTAAAATATTAATCAGTAATTTGTGCTTAGAAAAGAAATTTAAGATAACATAAATTAACAACAAGCTACTAGAAGCATTTTTTGGTGATTTCTTTAGACTCTCAAAGAAAACTCACCATATTTTCAGTATTTTCAGGCACTGTGCAAGCACATTGGCTTAGAAAAAAATATACAGCAGGAAAACATTCAGAGTACATTGTGATTGCTCTTTTAATAGAAATACTTATTGAAGCAGATATTTCAGTATAAGCAATTCTAATTAAAATGTCATAAGCAGGAAAAACTCTGAGTAGTTACTGTGCAAAGACAGGCCTGGAATTTAATTTAAGAAAATGTAAGAAATAAAGCACAAGATTATTTAAAAGCAAATAAGAGCCATGGGGCATGTACTGCTCTCTATTCATTCTAACCTGCAATAATCCAATCTAGCTGCAGAAGCAACATCATGCAAATTAAATAACCAAGATCATGTTATGAATATCAAATACTTTAATATGAACTGGTTTAAAAAGTTTGTACATTTGAGTAGGTGATAAATAAGTGGTAAATTTCCTTAATTAACACCCTCAAAGATGACTGTGTTGGATGGAAATTTTAAATAAAAGAGAGTAAAATCTAAATACTGTATTGACGGAGGAAGATGAGGGGCTCTAATGCAAGGTTTATTTCTTAATTCCTGGCTACTGAGTTTAAATATAATGCTCTTTATATCCTCTGTCATATTCTTCTTAAGGTGGTCTCACCGATGGTCTTGGGATGGGTTTTTGAGGTTTCTTGGATCCCAGTTTTTTTAGGGCATTATAGTACTTTTTCTGTTCCTCAGTCAAAAATAGATCTTTCCCACCTAAGTAAAGAGAAAAAATGTTGTTCAGATGAAGTCAAATAAATACCAACAAATTTATGTTAAAGACAGCAAGTGACAGTTGTCATCAGTGGGACCGAAGAGAGCACAGAGACCAAATGTATCTTCACCATTTCTCCTTTTCCCCTTGATCTTTGATCTGATCTGGGTTGATCATGGAAGTCAAGTCCAGGCAGTGATCCCAAGTCAGTTCCCTCAAGTGTGAGAGCCTTTTCAAAGTTTTGCAAATCTATTTACTATTTTTAAAATTACATAAGATTCATCAAGAAGTAGAATATTTTATATTTTTGGGAAAGGCAGAAGCAGAAGTAGATTGATGGACAAGCAAGTAAATAAAGGATGATGAATACGAATTTTGGGACCAAGTTCTATGGGAAGTTCCTGGCATTGAATTTCTTATTATCATCCACACCACCTGTATTACTGAGCAATCACTTGGAACCCAGTAATCAGAAATCACTCATCATAAAAGCACTTAGTGATCACAATTTTTTCAACAAATCCATAACAATGTTCAGCAGGGCATCTGCAACTGGAATCACTGCAGCAAAACCTCTCAAAATTCTGCTTAACTTGACTACATGGAATCTCAGTGAAACACCCAAAGAAGCAAAAAAGAAATGAAAGAGAAAACTGAAAAATAAAAAATATCAGTTACAGCATGTACTAAGAAAAGTAAAAAAGTGCTACATCCACATAAACTTCTATCAAATGTTCAAACTTATAAACTACTTAACCGTTTTATCTATTGGGATTATTGTAACTGGGACTTCTTACAGTGAAGTTGTACTGCTGTTACTCAGTCCCTACACATCCTTTCTCTGTCCAAATTCAGAGAACAGAAGAATTTCTTGTGGATTTTATTTCTATTTTTCTCTACTAAAGTCAGTAATGCTTGACACTTGGTTTATAAATCAGCCTATGGAAATAATAAACTATTCCAGTAGAAATTCTGTCTTCCAGTGGGAACCTTGAAATTGGGGTCTGCTTTTCCGGTATTTCTTCAATGAGCAAGATGCTTATTTGTTGTAAGACTTCCAAGTGGATTAATTGATCCAATTTCCCTCTTTGTTCTGGACACTTTAAAGCCTTAAATGAATCAGGAAAGAACTCAATTGATAAACAAGCTTGGCACCAGGAAGGTGAAGTATTCCAGGGAGGGATGACTGTTGCTTTTCTTTGCTGCGTTTTCCATTCTAAGATTTTGCCTTCCAGTTCTTACTGAATAACAAGGACACGGAATATAACAAGTAGGAGGAGAAAAGTGGAAGCAGTCATTGCTTCATGGGCTTTAAGCAGCCTTTAAATTTCTACACAGCTTCTTCTTGGGGTCATGGCCTGGATCCCAGTGCAGAATCTTTTTAAAACCTCACTAAATTAATCTGTAGGTTTATTTTATAGATGACTGACTTTTTAAAGTGCAGCTAGTTTTAGAAGTTCTGTTGACAGGCCTTTTCAAGGTTCTTTACCAGGAAAGCAGAGGTGACTTCTTCCATGACTGTTTCTTCCATGATTCCCTGCTCACATTTGTGAGGTGTTTACTCTCAGCAAAAAGGGTTTTTCTGTTACCCAAAGCAAATCTTCAAAGCAGAAGAAAAGAATTCCACTCTCCTGTAGCAAAGTCTTGGTAACTTTTTTGACTTCTCGTTATTTCTAATGCTACTCACTCCTTCCTCGTCCTCTACTCAGAGCAAATTCAGGACTCAGGAAAATAGAATTCACAGGTAAAAACCTTAAGGAAGAGGGGATTCCTGTTTTCAAAACTTGGTTTGAAATGTTATTATTTTAAATTTATCTAGTCAAACACTTATTTCAAAATGTCAGACCTCTAGATGTCAAATCAGCATTTACTTAATCAAATTGGGAATACAGGAGACCATGAGTTAGCTCATGTAGTACTTATCTTTTTCCTTTGCTGGTTAAAATTGCTGATAACCACTCCAATGAAAAGGTTCAGCATGAAGAAAGATCCAAAAATAATGAAAACCACAAAGAACACATACATGCGTAAGCGTGCTTCAAACTTGGGCTGTTGATCAATCTGTTAAAAAAAAAAAAATCAAACCAGAAAAATAATATTGGTAAAAATGAGATAATCTCAGCTTCAGCATTTCCAATTTATTATAGCAGATAGTTTTATTGTCATGAGGGATAAATTATTTCTGCACATTTATACCTTTATCTAGATGTACAAGTAGAACTGTACTTGTTCTACTTTATACTGTTTGTAAAGATAATTAAAAACAAAGCCAAATCCTGCTCTAGCAATTTTTTTAGTAACAAATAAACAGGTCCAATTAGAAGGGATCCTATGAGCCCTGATTAGAAAAACAGCTCAGATTAAACCTAATGGTGAATTCCCTCCTTTGGGATGCTATCCCAGGCAAGAAGCAATTTAAACCATCCATACAAGGAACAATACTGTTATTTAGCAGCTATATAACTACAGTCAAGAGTGATGGAATGAGTAAAAAAAATGCAAAGTCAACTAAATACAGAAAAGTTAAAACTCACTGCTAGTATGAGAGTGAGAAACATGACATGCAAATGGGGAAGAAATAGCGAGGGTGTCAAATGTAGGGAAGAAAACTTTCTCAAATCACTGATAAAGCTGCAGGCTGTTTCAGTTCTTCTGCACGTGTTCAAAAAGGAAGAGAATTTGCTTCAGAGGCACAGCCATATTCAGTTTCCAAATCAGACTTGTAAAAAATTACATATTAGCTTGCCCTCTTTTTGTGTGGTATCACTCTATTGTGACCAGTTTCTTTTATCTAAGTTTCAGATACTTGGTACTCCAAGGATTATTGTTTGACCTTGTAGCTGGATGCACTCATCCACTTGCATTTTTGACCTGGTGTTGCAAGCAAAGCTGAAAAATTAACTTTATAGATAGAAAAGGGAAGAAGGAAAGGGAAAATAACTAAAATTTCATTTCAGTGACATACCTCACGTGAATCTACTGCTGCATACATAATATCCATCCAACCTTTAAAAGTTGCCTGAAAGAAAATGCATTGTTTGTTACAACTAAGAGAAAGAATAGCTATTGCTAATATAAATGTGATAATAGTTGTGAAAAAAATGAGAAGTGTGCTATAAAAATATGCATCAATTCTAAGACATGCTTGGAAGTATGATTCACTGGAGTTTATTACAGAGAATAAATTTTCCTGAAAAGAAAACAAATCTCATGATTCATGTCAAATGCTTTAATGCTAACTCTTGTTAACTTGAAATTTTTGTAAAAACAAAAGAACACTAAAAGTTTCAGCTTAACTAGCAAACACAACTTAAAAGGAAAAAAAAACAATTTCTAAAAAAACAGCAAATGGCTTCATCCTGCAATTTTTGTCATAGAACATTCTGGATCCAGAGCAAAGAACATCTAGAAAATATACAGGGATAATGGAGACTTTTTTAAAATGCCTTTCTCTGCTTTGTTGTGGTACTAGGGAGCTCAGTGAATTAGCACCCCAACACTTCAGGATTTTTACAACAGAAGAAGACACAGAATTCTAAATAAATTGGTCCACGAGTATTCTTTCTTATCCACTCTGAACTAGAAAAAACAAGAATAAATTTAAATACAGTAACAGGCAGACTATTTCAGGCTTAGTTTGTTAATCAAAATTAAAACAGAAGTGAAACTTAAAACAAAATTGAAAAGCTGTGAAAGAGTTCTTGATTTTAACTAAAGGCTGCATGTGCCCAAGTGTTCTTTAGGAGGAGGCGAGCAGCTCTTAGATGAGGAAAATAATAATGGAAGCTAAAAAATCCCAAGTTTCAGTGAGATAAACAGAAGCATAGTGGTGTGCCTTGGTTGGCCTGATCAACCCATTCTTTGAGGAAAACAAAAAGAGCGTGTTTTTATAGAACTTACCACTTGGAGAAGAGCCAAGTATCCCATGCCAACATTGTCAAAATTTACAACACTATTTGTCCATGTCCCATTGTTGGAAATACAATCATTTTTGCCACTAATGAAATCAGTGCTATTTTTTTTGAGTGTGCATTTCCAAAATCTGCTTCCAAGCCATTTGACTCCTAGAACATTAAAGAGGAGCCAAAAGACAACGCAGACGAGTAGAACGTTGAAGATGGAGGGGATGGCTCCAAAGAGTGCATTCACAACAACCTGAATGAAATTAATGAAAATAATTCATTAATTGAATTCAATAGATCACTTTTCCCAGAAAGCCACTGATTTTTACTTCTTCTGTATTTATTGAAATCTCTCATCCATATAAAAACCCTCCCTATATCTTTACCTTTATCCCTTCAAATCTTGACAAAGCTCGTAGAGGCCGCAGTGCTCTGAAAGTCCTGAGAGATTTCAGGCTGGTCCCAGAGGAACAAGGTGAGGAATCTTCAGAAACAGAATTTTGTCCCCAGGAAACAAAGGACAGCTGTGTTCATTGAATTGGAACTGGGATCATTAAATGGCATACAAAATTTTATTTTATCTATATTAGTAGACAATCCTAAGATGAAAGTTAGAGTATATTTCACCACTAAGTCAAATGAAGAAAATACACATTTAACGTTATCACAATATAATTTTACCTCATTCTTTTCTAACATATGAAAAAATGGAATTAATTCTAATTTGATTTTTTAAACAGTCCATATAATTTTGTTTAATGTTGGTATAACAATCAAATTGGTAACTATGATACTTCCATATAGTACCAGACCAGAAAGGTTTATTCAGATTAAATACTCCCATTTTCTACATAGTTATTCTCAAAAGTGTATACAGGGATTTGTTATCATAACTGAGTATAGGAGTGTCCATCTGGTTCATTTTAGATAATTTAAATAATTAGGTTTTTTCACTGTTCATGATTTGTCTCTTCCTTCTTGTTTGAATTTGCTGCCTCACTGTTCAGCCATTGGATATTTCCATGCTTATCCTCTGGTTTGGACAGCTATTTACATTACAAAACTGTAACAGCTCAAGTATTCTTCACAAATAGTCACAATATTAGATCTTTCTGTTGAAATTTCCTAGTGCTTCATGACTTTCAATGCTGACTATCCTGAGTCTATCAAAAGCTACTCTGATGTCACAAGTCAGCAGTTTAGACATCCTTATTTTAAAACATTTAATTTCAGAACAGGCCCAGTGTGATGTTGACAAGAAAAATATTTCATTTTTACACAGCAAGTTTATAATATTTAACATTTTCTACATTCGGAGCAAATGTATATGAATTGAACACTGCACTTATCTCACTCTTGGTGATTCCAGCATTTCTCTTTAAGGCTGTGCAAAGCAAAAGATACCTTTAATTCCCTGGTAAATTAAATTCTCTGATTTTTCCAACCACGCTTTTCAACTGTCTTTAAATTTCTTCTCCTTCAAGGAAGGAACTCTTTACTTTTTTCTCTTTCTAAATGCCAAAATCACAGATTTGGTTTGGGTTGGAAGGAGACTTTAAGATCACCTAATCCAGAATTGTCAGTAGCTTCACATTTTCTACTGTCCTAATCAATTTATTTTAATTTTATTTCTGATCCCTAATTGAACTCTGTCTCTACAACTGAAAAAGGTTTTAGAACCATCATGGTCCTCAATGATGGTGATACCTAATAAAATTTCCATCACCAACTTCTTGATTATTGGTGACAATTTCCATTTAAAGTCCTAGGCGCTTTTGGATTGAAGTTTTTTTAGCTTTTGGAAACTGTCTTTAAGACTTGTATTAATTCATAATCACAATTTACAGGTATTTCTCCATATAAAAAATACCAAAAATTTAAATGTAGGACAAGCTGAGTATAATACTTACACACACAATGATGAAGTCAAGCAAACACCAAGAATTTGTGAAATAACTGTGCAGACCAAAAGCTACCCATTTCAGAAGCATCTCCGTAAAAAAGGTGTAGGTAAATATGATATCAGCATAATCTAGGATAATTTTCACTTTTTTCCTCTTCTGCAGGTGAACATCTTCAAATGCCTGGAATTTCAGAATGCAGTTTTAAAACAGGTTAATAGTTTTACACAAGATTATTTTTGAATTCCACAAGAATAAACAGTTTGGCTTGTTATAACCATTCCATATTAAATTATGGATGACCACCACTTATTTTTACACTTAAAAGTAAAAAGGTAAAATGTAAAATAAGTACAATCTCATTTTCACACTGATTGAAAAAATCTCATACTTTCAAGTTTTTATGTTCAACACTTCAAAAAATGTCTGACCAGGGTCAGTGGTGCCTAAAAAATTTTGGTTTCCCAAGGTAGTTGACAGTTTTGAAGGGGTTGATCAAAAATTCTTCACAATAAAGCCTGAATTGAATACATTAACCAGTGACTTAAGAATTAACCAGTGTCTGTCAGACTCTGACCTTCCAAACCAAGGCACCAGGGAGTTCCCCTGGAGGTTTTGTCAGGAGAATTTTAAAGCAGACAGTTAAAATCTACAGTTCAGGGAACAACCTGAATGTAAAGTACAGAGAACTGACTTTAGTTGGCAATTCTGACATCTGCCACATAGATCACCTTCAGACTATTTGGTTATGTTCTTTCTGCATTATATAATATTTTATTTAACAAGTTACTCTCAGTAGACAGTGAATATACTTTCAAATAAAATAATTCTTCCCTTAGTCTTCAGTAGAAATTGAATATGATCAGAGTAAAAATGAAACATTACCTCACCTACCAATTTACATCCACCTTCACTTTTAGCTTCTGATCATAATGTTTGGATGATTTTCAATCTACATTTTTACTGAGTAGCTAGTTTGTTTTACAAATTTAGAAATGCTAGTTATTTTTTCAAGCTTTCCCAAGTAATATCAGACTCTGGTTTAGCTTTGTAATTAACACAAAAGTATAAAGAACTATTTTCAATGAAGAGCTGTGATTCCATATGCTTAAATCCATCTATTTAAATATTTTATCCAAGTGGAGGAAAGCATTATAATTTCTAAAGGTTACATTTATTACACTCTTGTCTCTCCCTGGGGAAAGGAATGTCAGAGCAGAAGAAATCAATTCAATACTATTCCTTTACTTACAACAATTAATTCAGAAATGGAGAAATTAAATTAAATTTACCAGTGCTGCGCTGCTCAATACAATCATAAAAACCATAAAATATTCAAACCCGCTATGGTTCACGATTCTGTAGCAGGTTTTTCTAAAGTTCCACCAAGTTCTGCCTGGAAACTTTGTGATATTCACTACACAACATGGGAAACACTCAACACAACCTGAAAAGAGAGAGAACAGCATTTTGGTTCAATGGAAAATGTTGAGATATGGATTTAAAAAGTATGAAACATCTAAAAAAGGCCTTTTGCATATTATAGGAAGAATCTGCTCTTTTATCTATGAAGTGATGCTGTTATTGAAATGATCTGAAGCTAAAGAAAAGTTTTTATGCCAAAAAAAATCTCTTTTAAAAAAGCAACACATACCTGGACTAACAGACTTTTATAACTTATAAAAGATGGAATAACATCTTTTTATGTCCTCCTGCAGAAAGGCTTGTGGGCACAAAAGAAGCCTTTACTTCTATCTAAAAATGTGTTTATTTTCTGCATTTTTTAATCTTTTCTTTTTAATTTTGAAAAGAGATGTTGCCTTACTAGAGGTCAGTAAATTATTTTTACTAATTATTTCACTTTATTGCACTGCAGAGACATTGTATCTGGACTCTGTTTACTGCCCTGTGCCAGAAACACTCTTTATTAATCTGGAAAGGCAGCAAGATTGAACCAACAGAGTCTAAGGAGAAGCTGAGGTGATCAAAGGCAGATATCCAAACTGGAATGAGCAGGCAAACAGTTCCTGCTAATCTGGACATGCTCCAAATGGATATTTTTGAACACTGGTTCATTTGGCATTAGTGCAATACCAAAAAAAAAAAAAAAGGATTCCTACTTTCTACAAAGCAGTCCTTAGGCAGCTGGGAGTTTTTAGTCTGGGAAAACATCTCCAGAAGAACCACTGGATCCACAGTGCTGGCTTCAGAAAAGCTACGAACAGAATGATATTTCTGCAAAGGAGAAGAATTTAAGAATTAAAGAATTTAGGAATTTAAGAAAAGAATTTATTTGCTTTTCATTAATAGAGTTAATAAACCTAAAATAAATGAAAACAATCATCTTCTCTCCCTCCCCCTCTTTTGGGCATTTCTTCCCCAAAAGAAATTTGCAGTATATAAATTATCTTTCTGTTGCTGAACTACCAAAATAAATTATAAATACTAGGACAGAAATAGCCAATCCCATGGATTTTTGTTTCCATCACTTTATTTTAACAAGTTTCTTGGTTTCTTTTAGTTATCTACAGTGGACTTGAAGGAAGGGAACTGTTAATAAAGGATTATATTACACCGCAGTTTTAGAGAAAACTGATTTCTTCAGGCCAGTCCATTTTTAGAGATACAAATCATGTCTCAAAAGGCTTGAAGAGGGGAAGGAAGGCCCAGCATATTAATACAAAATGATAAAAGTTATAATTACCTCTTTTTCATCTTTCTTTGGGTTTGTTACTGTGAAAGCATTTGCAGTTTCAGAAGTCCCAGAACTCTGATTGAAGCTGTTTGAATTCCGCCACTGTTCTCTGTGTCTTAATTTGTCTCCCTGCATGAAATGATGCAAATCAGTTGATTTTCCATTTATTTTATTTTCCTGACAGTCATTCTTGAAAGGCAAAATGATTTAACAGATTGTAAAACATCCATGAAGTTTAGACTCATATAATCACAGAATTATTTGGGTGTTTGGTTTGGAAGGGGCCTTAAAGATCATGTAGGTTCAATGAGAAGACATCTTTCACTAGCAAGTTTTGCTTTTTACAAATAATTAAATAGTTTTCCTAAAATGCTTGTAAAAGATTTATGCTTCCAGTTATAGGCAGAAGGTCTAAGTGATCAGAATCAGTCCTCAGTCCTTCTGACACTACAAATTCCTAGAAATACCAGATTCCACTGCAGCAGGGAATGAATTTCTGACATCAAATGCTTATGGGCAAGACATTTGAAACAGCCACAGATAAATCTAAGGTGATCAGCAATTTCTGCTTCTTTGAGAATAGGTCCTAAGAGACTGCACTGATAATGCTTCTTACTATGATCAAAACCATACAAAATGGATCCTGGCAGTCCACCTAGACACTGACCATGTGCTAATCCATCCAAAAAAAGATCCCTCCAACCCTAACAATTCTATGATTCTGTGAAAAGAGTTCCTATAGCTCCTGCTCCGTATATGACAATCCTGAGTGGATGTGACAGACACCTGAAATATCTCCAGTATCCCTAAATGCCTCTGTACAGCTGTCATGGCAGAAAGACTTGAGCAGAAAGACTTGAGCTTTATCTCACTCACATGCAGAAAGACTTAAGTTTATCTTGCCTAACACAACAAAATCAAGAGATATTGTGGAATCAAAAGTAAAGAGGAGTCAAAAGTACCATGGAGGTGAACATGTGATTAAAACCCAGCCCCAAAATACTAAGAATTTATTTTTTAAGGTATAGCTTTTGTTTACATTCCCTTTGGGTTCCATGCAATTGAGAAGCAACATATAATCAACACAAGAGGCCTGCCTTACAAAAAATCCAGGTGTAAGGCAAAGGAGACAAAAAGAAAGAATGTCTTGATTGAACTTTATCAATTGACAGAAATAAATGGAAACAAAACAATCAGAAGCAGAATTTTGGCTGTCATTGAGGAGAATGATGAAAAAGTGAATATTCAACATATATTCAACACCGAATAACCAAGAATATTTGGTAGCCCTTGTACTAGAAGAAGAAAGTAAAATAAGAGAAATTACAGAAAGGATAATATTTACTGTTGAGTCTTTGAGATTGCATTTACAGATGTAAGTCACAATAATTTTTCAAATATCAGTATTCCTTACCTGTTTCCTGTATTCTACAGCTGTGTGCAAAATGTGCCCATCATCACCTTCCTTGGGGTAAGCCTCTGCTGCTGTAACGGGAACACAGGTACTGTGGCTGGTCAAAATGTCTTCATATTTCCTTGCTAGAGAGGAGTTCTCTTCCATATGGCAACACTCTATATCAAAGGAGCTGTTGTCTATGTATTTCCTGACATCTGTCATGGCATAATTAGTAACCTCTATGCCCTTCCCAGAAACTTCTGCCAAAGCCTTCTTTTTGTCTGTTCTTCTGAGGCTTCCCCTCATTCTTTTGCAGCAGTGATCCCAAATTCTGTCTTTCACAGTCTTCAGGCTCTTGTGAATCTGTGCAATGGCAATCTGGTATTTAGTCCCTTCTCGAGGCTCCTCTTGTCCCTCTGGGCCATCAATGTTGAATGAACTCAGCAGCAAAGCAATGAACAGGTTGAGCACCTTAAAACAGAGCAAGTTGGAGACACTATTGCTAACAGAAGAGATACCTCAGAGAGCCTCAAACTTGCTTTCATTAACCACTAATAAAGAATGAAATTCTTTACTATTACTCTGGAATATTGTTGTGTCATGATATAGCTCCTTCTAGAAGGATTGGCAGGAGAATAAAGGAGGGAGGTGAGAGTTTGGGTATATCAAATATATTTTCACATGCTTTGATGTCCATAGGGTATGAGGAGGCAGACATGTAGAAAAACAGTATGCAAAGATGAATTTTAATTACATCACCATCAAAAAGGATCTGGTATAGACCAACAAACCAAGCAGATCAAAAATATTTTGTCTGCCAGTAAATTTACATTAGATCTAATATAAACCCACAAATCTGGGAACTGTAAACTTTTGATAATATAGGGGCAATGTGTTAAGCATTAAAAGCACTCAGGAGTTTGGTGATTTGATCCCAAGATTAAGACATCTGACACGAAATTATGATAAGCTCTGCACTTCTATACTCTGGATAGAAGGAATAATTTTATTTTGCTTCTATGTCTTGTGTGAGAAAGAGAAAGAAAGGGGAAAAGGGAAGAAAGGAGACAGAACAAAACCATATGTCAAGTGACACCCAGAAAAGAGAATAAAGTGAATAGTTTTCAAACAGTTGAGTTTTCCTCCTAAGAAAAAAGTAGCTGGATGCATTCAGTAGGGACTGAAAATTGACTTGAAACTCACCACCAGGTTTCCTAGCACCAGGACGAGCAAGAAAATGGTGAGACATTTCCTTTTTCCAGCCACTTCCATGCATTCCCACATAGTTTCAATCCATTCTCCACATAATATTCGGAATATAATGAGGATTGAATGACTAAAATCTTTCATATGCCAGCGTAATTTGCCAGTGGGGCTTATTTTAGTGGAATTTGTAGTATAATCACCGCCCAAAATCTGCATTCCTACTACAGCAAAAATAAACACAGTGATTGCCAAAACCAGGGTGAGGTTACTCAGTGCACCAAATGAATGTAGAATTATTTTCATAAGAGTATTTAAGGCTGGCCAGGACTTTGCCAATTTGAAGATCCTGAGCTGTAAATAAAACACAAGGAAAAAAGAAAGTTAAAACAGCCCAGATAGCACAGCACACAAGAAAGCCAGACCCCACATTTACCATGATGTCTTTACTACAGTAGTATCACTATTTTTTCCCCAAAGAAAGCCTTTTAATTGTTTTGATGCAATTAAAATCACTCCAATTAAAAGCTCATGTTGCTTTACTACTTATCAATAAAGATAACAGATTTAACATATTCATCAGTAAAATCATATGAGGATATTTCACTGTACAACACATGCACTTTTAAAAAATAAGTGATTTTTTTTATTTTAATAAATAATTACCAGCCTGAAAGGTGACAGATTTGTTCCAAAGCTTGCTAGGCCAATCAAAACAACCAAGCTATCAAAAACATTCCACTTTTCCTGGAAATAGTAGTAAGGATCTAGAGCAATGATTTTCAAGATCATTTCTACAGTAAAAATCAGGGTGAAGACCTGGAAAGATAAACATGAAATTCAGAAAAAATGTCACTGAAAAAGTCTGTCTCCCTATGGAAGTGCCCCAGTATAAATACAGGGTTATAACTCAATTTTTAATCTAATATAGCTTAACTTACCTGGTCACTTCGAGAAATCAGTCGTTGGTATACTGGATCCATGCCAGGGTACTCCATAGCCAGGAACAAGGTATTCAAGATAATGCAAACCATGATCAGGAGATCAACAAATGGATTCAAAATTACCAATTTCATCTTCTCTTTGACTGCTCTCCAGAATGGACAACAATTCCAAATTAGATACTTCTGAGGGAAATTTTTCCAAAATGTAGGGCAGTTCACTTTCGACTCTGTCAGGCAAAGAGGGAAAGAAACATGAATAATCCTTTGTAGAATATCACGGAATGAAGAAAAAGACAATAATTAATTGAAAAGATTGAAAAGTCAATCTCACATGAGCAGAATGGCATCATTGAAAAAAATTGTTTAGCTCATTCTGCACAAACTAATCACAGACTAATAAAGGTCAGGCAAAATTTACCCTTGGTAATTGCAAGTTATAGGAGATATGAGAATATTTATTTTACTGAAATTCACATTTGGCAGCATAATTTCCCCTTTTAAAATAATGGTGCTTGTGGCAGTTTGATCTCCCAGGTTGAGTCACACAATCACCACAGGAAAGAGAGGAAAGAATGGCTTACTTGAATTATCTGTAAGAATTGTGGCTGCACTCATTAACCTCTGTCTTCGGACAGGATCATTGATAGCATCCATTGAGACCTCATAGTCCAGCAGGATCTGCCTCTTTGGTTAGAAAGGCAGAAGATAATATAACAGGGAAACATGAAGATATAATAATTGCAATACAAATATTACAATACTTGCAGTACAAAAATTATATCCAGCATGAGATAAATAATGTCTTTTCAAATATACATTATAGTGAAGCTTTAACTTGCTGAGACAACATAAAACAAACAAAAAAAAATCAGGTGTTTGAAGACAACATTTCATCAAAATCAGTACAATATTTCAAGAATTTTTTTTTCTTTCTGAAGATATTTAATTAGCAGTTATATTTCCATTATAAAAGAATAATAGAAACATTAACAGGAGGCAAATGAAATGAATCAATCTGTCTTTCCAGTGATTGATAAAAACAACAGATAAAAAGAACACTGACCATCAGTTTGAATAAACTATTGGCTATTAAACTATGAATTCCTAATTATTAATAAATAATCATGTATAAATATGAAAAATAGTCACATAGTTAATACAAATTATTGGGATTTTTATCCCTATTAATCCTATCAAGATCTAACTAATATTGAACTACCTAAAACCAGGAATGAGATTACTTTTGTTTTCATTAGAACTACCAGATGACGAGGAATCTGACAGACTGGGAGTGGACAGACTGACCACATCATAATGCACTGTACTTTAGTATTCCCTCTCAGCACAACTGAATTTGCATAATTTTCTTTTTTGGGAAGGATAAATCATGACAAGGAACCTGACTGGCTGGGAGTGGACACATCATAATGCACTGTACTTTAGTATTCCCTCTCAGCACAACTGAATTTGCATAATTTTCTTTTTTGGGAAGGATAAATGAATAAAAATATATCATAATGTTACCTCAAACTCTTACGATATTATGATTTTTACAAACTTACTCTGTAAAACTGTTATTCAGGGAATGAAACTGATAATCCTTGTCCTTAAAAGTTTAATAACAATTATTTCTCTTTGTCACTCTGATATTTTAATGAAAATCTAAGCAAAACTTAGCTGATAGAGCTGTCAGAGAACAAACCTATGAAATTAATTGATACTACAGTGCTAAAATGCTCATTTTCCCCTCTGCTTTTTTCCTGAATCCAAAAGGCTCCAAAGACTCTTGTATTCATGGCCAGTGTAAGTCAAGTCACCCTTAATTCTTTTCTCTAAGATCTGGTGTTTCAGAAAACCCTGAATAATTTGTGTTCCAGCCTGACTAAAGCTCTCAGACTTCATGCTGAAATTCACAGCTGTTAGGGAACCTTCAGTGTTGTTTCTGGAAAGGACAAGGACGTTGACCCACCCTGAACTGGTCACTGCTGCTCATTGATCTTCAGCTGAGGGAAATAACTGGGCATGAGAAATTGTCTGACAAATTGGGATTTAAAATAGGGATGTGCACTAGAGAAATAATGTTTATAAACTCATTCTGTCCTACCAAAAAACTTCTACCCAATATGCTTTTCTCTTTGACTTAGCACCTTTAGCCTCTTTTTGTGATGAAAGTAGAGAGGACATTGTTTGGGGAGTCCTCAAACAGCAGAGTTTGTACTGCCAGTAGTTGTCAGAACATGGAATAAACTGCTACATTTGCTGCAGATTATTCTTATTTGACTAAAGGTAAAAATCTGCATTGGAGAAGCTCACACTGCTTGGATCATGCTTTAGGTTGTCCTAGAGATCTTCAGAACTTTGTCATTCCCTGGACACAGAGAGGGGAAGGGGCCTTGGAAAGGTCTGAAGATGTTATTTCTGAGATATAAAAATCCATTACATTTGGCATCCACCAGTGCAGACTTTGTAGCCTTGCAGAAGTAAGGTCTAGAAAATAATCCAAATTTATTTCCTGTCTCATACATCTTCTGCAGCACAGTTACAGACTTAGAAGAATAAAGTTAAATAGGAATAGACAGACATAAAAAATTATTTTTGTACTTACAAAAGATATGACACCTATTATGAAAATACTTTTTTTTCCTGAATAGGTGCAATAAAACACTACCATGGGCTGTGACACAGCATTTCCTTTAAGTGCAGCAGAACCAAACTAGGTCACAAAATTGAATTATATTCTTAACACAGCAGGGGAAACATTACTGACTCTACAAGAAGCAAATGCTTTACTAAAGGAGATGACAGGTGGCTGCCAAGTGGGTGATTTGGATTCCTTCAGCTCAAATATAGAATTTATTATACCTAGGATTATGGAATTTAGAAGAAAATCTGACCATGATGACTGTCAGAATGAGAATTGAATCAATTTTAGCTAGGATTATGTGTCTGAGAAAGACTCCCCTTCAAGGATACTTTTCAAACAGATGGAAGTTGGAACATTATTTATCTTAGTTCTGCTATGGGAAAATTTTCATTTTCAGTGAGATGGGTGGAACAATTCTGGTGTTCTCTCAGAAGCAAAAGAGAATCTGTCACAGGATGAAACCAGTATAAGAACATGAGAAGCTTTCTTTTTAGATATTGTTGAAAATAATTAAGCAATATGGATAATTGTCTGAGAATTATTTTGAAAGAAGATTCAGCTCAAGGTTAAAATATCTAAATATAGGTATCTAAATGAAGATGTTGACACAGAGCCAGAGAAAGAATCAAGTTGGGATGGTCTTCTAGAAGACACAGTATTTTGTCAGTGCCAAAGGTACTGTGGAAAAAAAATCTCCAAAAGCAAAGAATGAATAATGAGTCTTAATAGAAGTTTATTAATGGACTTAAAAATGAGTGGTGAGCAGAGGAGCCCGAAATCACTGCAGCAAACAAGATGTGAAACAATATGTGTGTGATCCAGCTTAACCTTTTAGATATCCATATTTAATTTATCCATCTGTGCAATGCATTTAAAATCCCAGTATATAGGAGATATATGTTTCTGGTAAGTTTGATTCACATAAATAAATGTTTCTGAAGCCATTTGAGATGGTCTATTGAGACATTTGGTAGTTGAGACATCCACAGTGGCGGACATGGCACATAACATCTGTGCCCTTCCATAAAGGAGGTGAAAGCCAAGACACTAGAAGAGCTCTAATGTCACTAGGTATCAATTTGTGACCTAAAAAATTAAATCTCCATTTGACTCTGGGAGTTTAGAACCTAAAACATATGTACAAACCTTAAAACCCCCAAAATTTCAAACCCTGGACACAATCTAGTTGCCTAAATGTAGGAATTTAGCAATATTTGAGGTGCTGTAAGGTTTATGAGATACCTGCAAAGTGCTGGAAGGTGTGCCACAGATATTAAAGATATTTAGAACATCCACCATATGCAAGAGCATGTAAACTGGCACCAGATGCTTAAACTCAGCAAGTGAATCACACCCCATGCTGTAAGGTTTATGAGATATCCACTAAGTGCTGGAAGGTGTGCCACAGGTATCAAAGATATCTAGAACATCCACCATGTGCAAGAGATCTAAACTGGCACCAGATGCTTAAACTCAGCAAGTGAATCACACCCCTAAGACCAGAAATCTTCATACTGAACTAGACCCTATCCTAAATATTTAAGTCAGAGAATGAGCTGTGTGTAGAAAAGAATAATAATTAAAAAATAAAATTTAAAAAAATAGTCTTTAGGAAAACTCTTAAACTTAAGAATTTTATACATTTATTTCTGCTGTACAGAGATGTTGACAGATCTTACCACAGCTCTCAGAGCACAGGTCTGTGATGTGCCATAAGTGTACCACTGACAGCCACTTCCACCTTCCCTTTCAGGTGCAGGTAATGCTGGCTCCCTCTGCTCCCAAAATCTCATCCTTGAATTGTCATATCACCTGCAAATCTAATGAATGTATTTTCTATTTCAAACACTTACAAGCTTCTTGTGGCAGCGATCAGGCTGGGAACGAAATATTTGCTCCTCATTTTCCTGGTCATTTGAAATTAAGTTTTGCCTTGAAGTAGGTGTTTCTTTATTACTTTCTTTTCCTTCTGAATTTTTCAAGTCAGCAACTGACATTTCAGATCTAGCATGCATGGCCTTAGTGCTTTCTTCCACAGCCAACATCTGTAACAGGAAAAGCAGAACATCTGTCTGTTAATTCAAGGCAAATACCAATGCATGGACTAGGATAATATACAGGTAATTATTATGCTATCTGAATTATTTGCACTGACAATTCCTAGGTTTCAAATGTTAAACTGCCATCAGAAGACAGGAGTATAAAATGCTATTCATAATTCTGAAAGACAAAGAAGGGTTACCTGTGAGCTACTTTAATTAAAGTCTTCCCTTGTCACTTTAAAAATTGTATTTTGTATCTGATTTACAAAGTATTATGGCTTATCCTTTCACTTTCCTTTCCTTGATTTGAAAAGGACCTTGAGTCCAAGACAGCAGAAGACTAAGGCCCGAAATTAAATCCTAAAATGTTAAATTCTCCTAAATCCTAATCCTGTTGAAAGAAAAATAGAAAGAAGAAAAACAGAAGGAAGAAAAGCCTAAGCAAAGCCTGGCTAGGTGGAATGTCAGGCACAGAAACATTACAGAGCTGTCAACAACTGTAGAGGAGGAACTTGGTAAAATGGTGATGCCTAACACTTTAAAGATGAAATTTGATCATTGCTAGAGAATTTGTTTGTCTTTTTACAAGCCTGACCTTTCTGACTGCTAGCAGTAAATCAGAGATATTTTTCATTTAAGGTAGAAGATAAAATGTATCCACTCATGCTTTCTTCCTGCAGTAATATCAGGAAGGGATACCCACAGAAAGGAATTTTTGGGCACAGCAATAATGGTACTGTACAAGAACAGGGCAAACTATGGAGTGCAGCATTCATACAATGCCATGAAAGTTACTTTCTTGCCAGAAAGCCATTCCTCTACAATGTCAGGTCTGCAGATCCTAAAACTTCGTATATTTTAACTTGGATTCATGATGAGTTTTTGTATCATAGGAACCTTTATGTATGTAAACATATATATACATGCATATATGCATTTGTAAAGACATAAAGAGAAATGAAGTGTCAGAAAGTATTGTGTGAAGCGCATGTTTAATTCCAAGCATTATTTCCATAATTCACAAACAGCAGAAAACAAAAGGAACTACAGATAATATATGATAATTTACAAACCTGTTCCTTCTCTATAATTTGTCTGGCATCCCGAAGCAGTTTTTCCTTTGCCTCTGTTTCAGCACGGGTTGCTCTGTTTTCCTCTTCATATGCCATAGTTACCACAGCCAAGATCAGATTGAAGAGGTAAAATGAGCAGAAGAAGATGACTGCCATAAAAAAAAAGATGCACGACACTCCAGAGGTACGGATGGTCTGTGAGGAAAAGTTAAAAGTGGTAATAAATTCCAAACAAACTCATATTTACAAAGCAATTTCAAAATAACATTAAACAATTTGTTTTTCTGTGCAATACAAAAGGTTAATACACTGCAGTGTTGTCAATGAACAACAGCAGGATCTGCTTCTGGTCTAAGTTATACATAATAATGTCATGTACTGCAGAAAAGAATTAACAAATACATTCTTAAATAAATCAAATGTCTTCCAGCAAATCAGGCAAATGATCATCAGAGTTTAAGCTATGAGAACACAAATTCATCTGCTAAGACATAAACAGGTGACTGTGGAAGAAATTAATTAAACTCGGCAATAAAGATGAAAGCTAGGATTATCTATACAATTATGAAAGATGTTTTAATTACAGAATCAGAGACAACATTTAGACTGATCATCTGATTCTTATATTTTTTTAAAAGGTAGCAGAAGAGATGGTTCAAAATTAAGCTCTGAGACATTAAAATGAAAAGTCATGTGATGTTCAAATGGCACAAGGCGTTGCCTCCATTTTAAAAAGTCACAGTTAATAAAGGCTGATGGAAAAAAGATTTAAAATCTGCCAATATGAAAGGTACAGAACAAGACAGAGGATATTGTTCCTGTCTGGCAAAGGCACTGTATAGATGTAAGGGATCCAGGAAGTTCTCCACAGGTATTTTTACATCATTTTTCAAAAAAATCACAGAATTGAGAAGTTACATTCAACTCTCAGAATCAAAACATAAAGTCCCCAATTTTTTTAGTACCATGTTGTCAAAAATGAAAGTGTGTACATTGAGCCGAAAGGTTTGGTGAGGTGTCAGCACTTAAAAGGAAGACGAACAGAGAATGTGACAAATCCTCACATTCCCTGCAGTAGCAGGGAGCTCCCTGGCTGGATCTGCTCTATATCCCAATCCTTGGGTGGTTACATACAAATATTTAACTCTTATTTAGCTCTTAACCACTGACCTGAGTGTGTTCTCCAATAAAACTATGAGCATCCACAGCAGGGTTGCTCCCACCCAACATCACTTTGCAGAAGGTGCTACAGCTCAGTCACTTGACTCTACTTCCTTAATATTTACATTAATTTTAGAAGAAAATTGATGTCAATAATGTTAAAACTAATACAGACTTTTCTATTGGACATAAAGCTCTGAATTGCACATCTGAAGTCATTCCAGCAGGTAAAAAAGTACCCACTTGTCTGTAGAGACGCTCCCAGCTGTCCTGGGTCATCAGCCGGAACACAGAGAGGAAGGCCCAGCCAAAATGATCAAAACTTGTGTAACCAAAATCAGGATTGTTCCCAATCTTCTCACAGGTATAGTTTTCTGGGCACTCACTTCAAACCATAAAAGAAATGTTAAACGATACTTATGTGGAGATTCAATTGAATCTGAAAGCATCCAATACACAGTGACAAATAAAGATTCATTCAGTTTGTCTGAAAAGAGGTTTCATTATTCCCAAAAACATTCCTGCCAGAAGGGCTGATTCATATCTCATCATTCCAGAAAACCATTTATCTAGTAAAGAAAACTAGACAGAAACCTTAGTTTGAGATGAGACAAAAACTCTCACTGGTGTAGGATATGTCTTAACAGAGTGGGGAAAAATGGAAACACCTTTACTTTTAAATAATTCACCAAGATGAGGAGAGGAGAATTTATTAATATCTAAAAAGTCTTTAGTGATCTGTTCCCCTTCTCATTTATGTCATTCTACCTTATCATTATACTCCCAGTAATTAGCAACAAAGTACAAATAAAATTGGCTGCATTCTTGTACTTCATTCCTTTTCTGGTGTGAAATTTGTGGTTTTTAATTTAATAACACACCCACAGATCCATTTCTCCCTCCTGAATAATCATCACCATTCCTTTAGACCAGAAATAAAACCACCATTCATCTGGAGGAAAAAATTAAGAAACTGCTAAAACTGCTTTGTCCACTTACTTGGGATCTGCAGTGTACCCACACAGCAATATTTCAGAAGAGTCTTTCAATCTGTAGCACTGCTCTAATGAAAAAAAAAAAAATCAAATAATCATAAAATCAGAAGTTTTAATTTTCTATAGTTTTCTGTCACTAAACCAAACATTACTGCATTTTATAAATACTCTGATGGATCAAACCTCTGTGAAAGATCCTTTCCCAGCAAAGGGCATACAGGACTGATTCTCAGCAGATCTCTCTCTCTGGCAATTTAAAATAAATAGTAACAATTTGCTGCACAACTAACAATGTAATATTTTATTTGATCTTTAGTAAAAATAAGAATCTCTATGAGGAGTAGACAAAATCCATGTAATACAGAGTAAGTGATGGAAAAAAGTCATTCCCTGTGCAGTACCCCTAAAATTAGTATCCCTGTGCAATGCAGAGATAAAGAAGAAAATGCTTATAGAAAACTCAGTCCCTTCTATCTCACAGATTGCTGATCTTTCTCCATATCCAAGATTCTCTAATCTCATATTCAGTTGTCCCAGAGACTTCATACTACTACTTGTGCAAATGGAGGGACAAACTTTCTTAACAGAAATACATGCAACTATACATTAATATCCCTGTGAAAAATTAATACATACATAGGAAGACACACAGATTATGTAAAGGGAGAAAAGAAAAACATTTACCTTCCTCATTTGGTACATATATCTTGGGATCCTTACATAATGAGTCACTGTACATAGTTTTGTTGAGGACACATTTGGATTTTAAGTTGCCCATAAAGAGCTGGAGGCCTATTAGTGCAAATACACTCAAGCAAAACACAGTCAGGATCAGCACATCCAAGAGCTTCTTCACAGACTCAACAAGAGAATTTACAATGACTTTCAGACCTAGGAAAATAAGATCCAATAACATGGAAAGTGAGAAAAGGAATGTAATGATGTTCCTCTATGACAAGATATGACAGCTTCAAGTTTGTTAAAGACAAATTATTGATGTGTGGCTTTTACACTAAAATTAAACACCTTCAATGTTTCATTAATGCTATAATTTCATCAAAAGATCAAAATATATTTGCAATTAGATGGAAATTATAAACTTAATATATATTATAATCAAGAGATACATAGTAATTTATAGATTTTCAAGTCAATTTTTGCAGCTGGACTCTGAAATCATTCTTTGGTACCCTAATTAAGGACACAACTTACAAAAATATTGAGTATCTGGATGGTATATGCAACACACTGTTGAATGTGTTACACCCAATCCAGACAGTGGCTGTGGTCAGTAAGGAAACAAATGAAAGTGTCTTAAATTGTGAAATCAGCATTCTGGGAAATAAACCAGACAAGGATTAGCTAATGAGGTAGAACATGAAACCAGAAATATGGTGGTTCAGAAATATTATGTTAAGAAAACATATTACAGACAGTGGGCTCTTCCAGGAAGACAAATTAAAGAGACAAAGGCACTGGGCTGAATAAAAGTGTACATCAGTGATGAGACAAAAAAAAAAAAAAAAAAAAAAAAAAAAAAAAAAAAAAAAATAAAAATGTACGTTAGTGATGAGACCAAAAAAAAAAAAGCATAATACAAATTTGCTTTTGTCAAAACCATTTGAAGGAAAGATGATTTTTTAAAATTGTGTTAGGGTGGTGCTGCTGAGGGTGCAAAACAGTCACACCTTGGGATCACAGAAAGTGACCAGAGGACTGGAAGACAAGAACAGGAGTGGAATTAGAATTTACATTCTGGTGAAGCAGATTTGTCAAAATCATTTGAAGGAAAGATGATTTTTAAAATCTGTGTTAGGTGGTGCTGCTGAGGGTGCAAAACAGCCACACCTTGGGATCACAGAAAAAAAGTGACCAGAAAATTGGAAGACAAGAACAGGAGTGGAATTAGAATTCATGTTCTGGCGAAGCAGAGAGAAAATCAGTAAGATGTGTTATTCCTTACCTGGTATTACTGAAATAGCCTTCAAAGTCCTCAGTACTCTGAAAGTTCGAAGAACTGAAACATTGCCAACACTATGAAATGCAGTAATGTACCTGCAAAATTAACCCACACTCAACTGAATGACAAAGATGGAGCTTTTCAAAGCATTTGCTTATGGAGCAGGCAGTAATGAATACACTGCAGAAAATATATCCTAAGATACATGCCTAAAATTAGGAATTTAAGTCCATTTCTAGGCATGGATATAATGTAAAGGGGCTTTGGAGCAGTGCAAAAAGAAATACAGGAAGCTCCTACTTAGTGTGGATTTGGAGGCTTTAGCTTTGGAAGAGTTTATCCATCAAAATGTCAAATAAATATAAAGCTGCCACTGTCATAACCATACTCTTACACTGAGACTTCTCTCATGAAAGTACATGTTGCTGCTATCTCAAAACAAAATACACACTTCAGGAGAAGGAAGTTGAGCAACAGTAGATTTATAATGTGATTATTCTGCACCACATGGGTCTTCCTAACCTTAAACAGTCAGTGGGAACTTGAGTATTGCAACTTGTTTCAAATTTTACATTTCAACAATTAGAAAATTTCATCAAATCAGTATTTCAAAGTATTTCGTAGTCTATACAGATTTTAACAGGTTACTCCAAATTTTCTAAGACTTCTTTCATGTCAGAAAGGACATGAATTGTGACTCACCTCATGACAAGCTCATAACTGGTAACAGAATTCCTTAAAAAGTAGTCTCAATAAAAAAATCCAAGACAGCAATGGTTGAAAAGGCAACCTCCCCCTCAGAGTATGACTTTGCCAGCAGCAGATCAGAGCACATTGGCTTTGCCTAGTCTGTAACTCTGAATAATTATCAAGTACCCTAAGTAATAACTACACTTGAGTTAGCAGTTGAGCTAATTTCTAAATAGTTTTCTTCGTTCTACTATAAGACATGGAAAAAACCAGATAGAGGTACTATATTATAAAGCTGACCACTAATTAACTAGGGGTGCAGACAGGGAAAAAGGACCATAAATGAATTTTTTCATGCAGCTCTTGGACTGTCTTGTGATAGTTGTAAGTATCAGTAACTATCTGGTGATAGATGCTGATGCTCAACAGTATTCAAGCTCCTTAGTAGGTCATTGTTACCCATAAGAATAATTGTTCATATATATATAGATGTGTGTGATGACATCTGTGTACATATAGCCTATTATTTACAAATGAGGAAAAACCTACATGTAGTGTTAGAAACTGCTCCCTTCTTTTTTATTCTGCCACCTGACAACTTCATTTGGTGCCTTTAGCTCTCATTGTAGGAAGAAAAATATTATTTATTCTCTTTTTGTCTCTGTGGTGTACACTTCAACTGTGCTCCTGCTCTGCAATTGTCTTTTCATGCGAGATTTTCTCTATGTAGTTTTTTGATATGTGGAATTACAGATATACATATTCACTGTAGCTTTTTTAATTCTGACATATTTTGACATGTGAGGTGCAAAACTACACAAAGTCCTGAATTTAAACACAGGCTACACAGAGAAATAATGTATGTTCTGCTTCTTTACTTCTTACCCACAATGTCTTCATTTTCTACCTCCTTCTCTAAGCATGACTGCATGCTGGAGTGGTGTTTTTACAAAACAATCTGTTTAAACTCCAACAGCATCTTCCCAACAAGTGGAGGCTATTCCAGAGCCCATGAATTTGTTAAAACAAGGTGTGTTCTTCCTTGAGCATCATTTGAGCATCATTTGAGCCTGGAATTTCATCAGCTATTTACCAAGTAATTCAACACCTTGTGACCCATTTTGGACCCTTCTCAAATTAATTTCATCTGATCCAGAGTACAGCTAAGACAACATAAAGAGGCAGGCTTGGCTTGGGCTGTTTATGCAATTACCTCTTGACAAAATTCAAATAAAGACTAAATTGAGAACAATCACACAGTTCTAAGATGAGTTTTTAATTTAGGCCTTATTTTGAAGTATGTTTTTCTCATTGCAGACATGCAAAATGTGATTCAAGCACAGTTTAGCAGGGAGGATGCCAACAACTGTAAGGACTTTCAGCAACACCAAATGTTATTTTCTCTTATTTGTCCCCTGAGTGTAAAAGAAAAACTGAATTTTACTTACATTACAATAATAATAGAAAAATCCAAGCAGTTCCATGGATCTCGAAGAAAAGTAAATTCATTCCAAACAAATCCTCTTGCTACTACTTTAATCAATATTTCAGCAGTATATACAGCAGTGAAAACATGTCTGAGAAGGAAAGTATATATTAAAGTTACAGAAATAAAAATACCAATGAGACTGATACACATTCAGGCACATTTTTATCTTTTCTCTGATTTAGTCCCTGCATGGAGATAAAGGTGGAAAATGTGAAGCAAAATAGGACAGGTTGCATTACTTTCAGAAGCATCGTGGGGACAAGATGTCCTCCTGAATTTTAGTAAATTTTCCATCTATATCTACAAACAAAAACACTCACATAAGCATATGATGTTATTTCTGGATGAAAGATAGCTAACATTTCCCTAGGAAACATTTTCAAGACTGTGTTTATGTTCTAAAGCAGGTTAGGAAATTTCAAAGCCTCACCATTCTGGCAGAACAAGAACAACAAAGATTTATTTCAGCCTGTAAAATTTGCACATTTTATAAATTTATTCTGACAAATACACTAGAACTGAAAGAAATCCTACAGAAAATTAAGTTATCACCATGCTTACCCCGAAATAAAAGGAATTAAAATTACAGAACTTCTGAGGCTCCAGGCACATTTTCCAGATTTAATTCTGGAATATGTACTCAAGTTACACTGGATACAGTGCACAAGTACCAAAAGAAGCAAGACATTACAAATAATTGGCTTCTTAGTGGGAACAACTGACTTAGGAGAGTCACCAGGAAACAGAGGAAAGCACAGAATGAATATTTACTCCTTTATAGCTTTTACATGAGGCAACATTCAAGTTGTTACTATAGAATGAGAGATATTAAGTTAAAATCTTGATGCACAGTCTCTCAAAAAGATTTAATCCTCAAAAGGAAAAATGGGCCAACCTCCTCTGTTACACCAGATGGCAAAATTAGGCAAGACATAAAAAAGGGCACATGGTGAGAGCCTCTAAGAAAAGGCACTGAATCTCCACAAAAGACTGGTTGATATAATAACAATCCTCAGCCTTCCTCAGGGGTCTATCTGAGCATTTTCAAGCCCCAGAATTAGACCACCACATAATTTATTTAAATTTTTCAGTCCTGCGTGTTAGTATCCTTGGAAAAATAGTGAGGTACTTACTCAGTCCAGCCGGCTTTTACAGGAAGGTGAGGGATAGTCATGGCCATACAATTGAGTAGCACAGTGCATGTAATAATGCCAAGAAAAACTGTGAATAGTAAGTCAAGGAAAAAACCTCTGTATTGTACAAAATGAGGTTCATGCAAGCTGCTGATTTTCACACCCAAAAACCTCACAAGCATTCAAATAATAACTTTTCATTTGAATATGCTCAGAACTTATGATGTGTTTTCCAAAGAAACTTATAACAGAATCACAAATTTTCCTGAGTTGGAAGGGACCCACAAGGATCACCAAAATCCAATTCCTATCCACAGGACCATCCCAAGAATCCCCCATCAAGATCAGACCTTCTCAACTGGGTAAAATTCATGTTTTAAATATAAAAATGAATTCTCTGCATGTGGAGATGGTTTTGGGAGTTAGGACACTAGTGGGACATAACATGTTTGACATGTTCAGACATGTTCACCTTAAAAGACCAATTTCCACTAATTAATAATTCCAAATAAAAGCAAAAAAAGCAGGAACAGAATGACAGAAAATGGCACAGAATATTTTAAGATTCACATCATGAAACCAATGAAAGGATATGAATGGATCAGAATTTTAATTGCTTTTTTTCTGACTGGATTAAAAGGACCAAATATAAACAAGGCAGGTGTGGCAGTAAACCGGAAAATAGTCCTCCTTTTATTTAACACCATAAAAGTCTATGAAAAAAAAAATTCATAGTACATGAAACATTTAAATGAATTAAAAATTACATGTTCAGTTTTTCAAGACTGCATCTAGAGCTGTATGTAACTGCAGTTAGGAGCACAGTTTTCCTTTATTCTTACTTGGAGCTGTGACCTGATTATACACATTTTGAAGGAAAGCAGCTCTACTGAAGTTCATTATTGCCTGAGAGGAAGAAGCCATAATGGGAATGAATATGAAGAGCAAGTAATCATATTCATTTGGTCAAAGTAATTAAATTACTACTCTGGGACTGTAACAATGGTCTTAATACCTTACTCTTAGACAGTTTTACAGGCTACAAGAGATTATTTACAAGATGCAGATTGTGTAGCACTGCCAAAATCCTGGACAGCCCGTCAAAGCAAAAATTTTAATTTTGAAATATCTCTATGTTGTCACATAACACTGTAAATTGCCTCTAAGCTACCATGCAGCTCAGCACATTTGCCATATAGTAAAAATGAAATCTCTTGAATGAAAAACACAGTTTCCTGACTTTAATATAAATTTCTTCAACTCAATCAACCTCAGTTCTACTCAATAGTATCACTTTGATTACTTTGAGAAAAAAGTATCTGGAAGATCAAAGTCTAAAGCACGCTCTCTGATAAAATTATTAAATTCCAATACCACACATTGAAACAGCAACAAGGACTGGATGGAACCTTCTGCTCTTCAGATCAAGTCTTCCTCGACAGTAGTAATAATTTAATTTAAGTATTTAATTTATAAGGGATTCCTAGACTATCTACTTTATACACTGTTATAGTCAGCATCACCATCCACTTTGGAATAGCATGATGTATGTGCAATATAAATATGAAATAATAAAAAAAGCCAGTGAGACATAAAGTTACAGAAAATTAATTTAAGACAATGAAAATACATAGGTTTGCTACACAAAGTAATGCAAATATCTAAATGGCCTCCCTTAATTTGTATAGTATTTGTATTTCAGTGAAAGCATCTGCAATTCCAGCATAACCGACTGTTGGGCAGGCTCTGTTTATGCAACAGGGAGCTCAGCCCCACAGCCATCAGAGAAACTGCTCTGGAAAACCAAGCATCACTCATCCCAGAATGTATTTACTAATAAAGTGCACAAAACACATATCATGTTTTCATAATTAATTTTGATTCTTGACAGAACTTAAAATACCTCTTCATTCTGTAATGAAGAGCATACCTTAGAACTCCCACACAAAAGTTGTCAATAATGTTAAAATTCTATCTACAGAGCAATCAAACCCCAGCACCTCCTGAATAGAGTTTTTACTATCCCTTAAGAGCTCAGCAGGCAAAAATTAAAAAAAAAAAAAAAGCTTTGGGAAGTTTAAACCTTGTGATCACTGTAGTACGGATCAAAATCCTCCAGGGGTTCCCCAACCAGCTCTTCAGGAATGTCCCCATACAGAGATGGCAACGTTTTGCAGATTTTCAGGTCAAGCTGAGGAGTAAGTTTATCTTCTTCAGCTCCTTGTTCCTTAACTTTGTTCTTTTTAACTCCTTTGTTCTCTTTAACTTTGACTTGCTCCTTTTTTTTGTTGGCAATCCTTTCCTCGATTGCTGCCAGGGACTCGGGGGTGAATCGTCGAAATCTGTGAGCTTCTGATGGCCAAAACAAGGGATCCATTTTTCCTTCTGAGTGTTTATTTCCAGTACTACAGGTAACCTAAGAAAGAAAGTTCTTGACGATTACAGAATACCAGAAATTACACACAGCATTAATATATATTAGAAAAATAATTTTTTACTTCTCTGAAACTCTGTGTCAAAATAGAATAAGACAGAATAAAATAGAGTAGAATATGAACAGACTATTTCAATCGAAAAGAATCTACAATGACCATGCAGCCCAACTGCCTGACCAGTTCAGGGCTGACCATTGTAAGGCCTTGGGCACTGCCCAAGTGCCTCTTAAACACTGACAAGCTTGGGGCATCAACCATCCATCTAGGAAGCCTGTTCCAGTGTTTGACCACCCTTTTGGCAAAGAAATGCCTCTTCATGTCCCATGTAAACCCCCTGCAGTGTGGCTCTGGACCATTCCCACATGTCTTATCACTGGATCCCAGGCAGAAGAGCTCAGCACCTAATTCTCCACTTCCCCTCCTCAGGAAGCTGTAGATGAGGTCACTGACAGCCATGAGGTCACTCCTCAGCCTCCTTTTCCCAAAAGCAGACAAGCCCAAAGCCCTCAGCAGCTCCTCTCAGGGCATTCCTTCCAGCCCTTCCACCAGCTTTGGTGCCCTCCTCTGGACACACTCAAGGACCTTCTCATCCTTACTAAATAGCAGGGCCCAGAACTGCCCACAGTGCTCCAGATGAGGCCACACCAACACTGGACACAGCAGGACAATCACCTCTTCTGACCCGCTGGTCCTGCTGTGTTTGAGGCACACAGGATGTAAGGCAAAACCAAGTAGAAGTACATGGATTTAGAAGAATGAGTAATGAAAAAAAGACCAAATAAAATCAACTACTTAATCTGGATCTACCCTGTGTGATTCAGGTTACAGAAGAAATACTTTCTTCCTTTGCCTTTCAAGCTTGGAAGCATCAAAATCACAGCTCTATCACAACCCTGACAATCATCTAATTGTTTCTCACTGTACATTAAATTATCAGCAGCCTTGCGCCTCAGCTACTGCTCCTCTGTACTTCCTGAAAACAGAATTTAGTTCCACATGTCCCATCTCTAAGGCTCATCAGATCCATCCCCTCCACAGAGCAAGGCCAACACCAAATTCAGTTCAAGGCTTCGTCCAGTTGCATTTTCAATTATTCTGCTTGAGGTTTAAATCCCTGACAAAGAGGAAGGGTGGCAATGAGAAGCATTGAGGTGACAAGGCAAATACTGCAATTATTCAGTTACTAATGCCCAAATTTACCACACTACTGTAGATGACAGCAATTTACATGACACCAGTCCTCATCCACAGATGAAGAACATTTTGACCCATTACAGAATGATTTGTCCTTTGTAACTTACATCAAAACCAATTACTTCCATTTATTAAACCATTTTGGTCACTGCCAAGTCTTTAAAACACTCTGCAGTTTTGATTGCTGAGGTCCATCTATGCTTCTTGTGAGCTCACATATGGACCATGTTGGAGAATCAATACTCTCTTGCAATTACAGCTCTCATCTTTAGATGCAGATATATTTATTTTAAAAGAATATGAAAGCAAGAATGATTGTGCAATGATTTTATTGGGGTATATGGGACTTGGGAGCAGTTTTTTCCCTCCTCTGGGACTTTCCAAGGATGTTGAGGATCTGGATCAGGAACCACAACTCAGAGAACAGAATTTACCATGGTAACAAAATGCAAGTATATAACCAAAGAACTGTTACTTTGCCAAACCACACAGACCCATTTCCAATCAAAAGCTCAAAAGATAAATTGAAAATCAATATTTTTTTTTAATTTGCAATAATTCTAAGATCAATTTTATCGTCAAAGCAGTTTTAAGGACAACGGAGAACCTCGGCTTTTAGGGAACTACATCAACTGAAATAAATCAAGCAAAGAAAATGGTTTTAGCAAATACAAATATCGTTTTTGTATTAAGGATTTCAGAGCTGAATTTAAAAAAAAGAATGAGACAGAAGTATTGATCAAGAGATCAAGAGCAAAAAGATGCGACACATTCCTTTCAGCAACTGTGACCAGAAGTCATAATTGGACAAACTTTCATGGATATTTCTGAGAGGATTTCTTCAGCAGACCTGTACCAGAAATGCACTGTGCTCACATGGAACAACAGACTTCCTGGCTTTTGATCAACTGCCAAGTATTTCTGGATTGTGACTTGGGTTAGGAGAAAGGAAGCTAAGAACATGTGACTGAAAAATCCTTCTAATACAAAGGACTAAAATTATATTAAAAAGACAGAGTGACTACCTGGAATTCCTGAAGCTAAGCTAACTCAGCCACTGCTGAATTAGTTGAATTTTTAAGGCAAGACACTGAGGTAAAGTGTTATTCTGAGAAATAATTTCAATTTTGGCATGGGACACAAAAGCTTCCCTAGTAACCAGTTCTGGGAGGGACGATACAGAACAAGTTTTCTTAGTTTTAGGCTAAGCACAAGATTTATTCTAGAAACTGAGAGAGGAAACTTGGGTGTGTGACTACAAGTTAGTGCAAAGAAATTGTAGGTCAATATGCACTATGCTAACATGCTGCTGAGGCAGATCCAAGACTACAGATCTGTTAATTTCCAGTATAGCAAATGAAAGAAATTTGCATTTAAATTAAATTAAGAGTTGGAAATCCTACAACAGGTTTTGATATCTCTGCTCCTGCAGTAGAGACCAGTCCATCAGCAACAGATACAAATGCACTGGTACCTTCAGTTGCTAAAGTACCGCTTTCTACAGGATCAGGGATGCATTAACTCACAGGATCAGGGATGCATTAACACATTTTTCTTTTCAATTAAAGTGGAAATGACTTGGTTTTCTTATCTTGAGAGGAATTGTATTCAGTGTACAAAGCTAGGCATTGTTTGAGGTTAGTCTCATTGGCTTAAAGGTGCTGCAAAAATGACACAGAATATTTTTATGTCAAAACCCAAGGAATTCCAGATATACTGATGAAATTTTTTGAACAAATAACCTGCAAGATACTAGAAGGGGATGAACAAAGAGACATTAAGTGAAACAGACACTGGACATTACTAGAAAACAATTTGCTTCTAAAATTGTTTAAGATAAAGGGCTTTTCTAGAATAGTAAGGCAGTGCCAAAAATGAGTCTATTAACACAATATTTCAGAGACATGAATTACAAAATGTTTTCTGGGATGCTGACACTGAACAAATGACCTGCAAGGTACTAGAAGGGAATGAACAAAGAGTCATTAAGTGAAGCAGACACTGGGTACTACTAGAAAACAATTTGCTACTAAAATTTCTTAAGATAAAGGGCTTTTCTAGAATAGCAAAGCAATGCCAAAAAAATGAGTCTATTAATACAATATTTCAGAGACATGAATTACAAAATGTTTTCTGGGGTACTGACTAATCAGTAGAGATGATAACTAACAAATTTAGACTTTTGGATTGAAAAGCAAAATACAAATTCAAGCCTTATATACAACTCCTTGATTTGTCTCCATTTGTATGAATTTCAGAACTCTTTCCAGCTCCCTAAAAGCACAGAGTTCCTTTTAAATGCAGCCATCAAACTATTGACCATAAGATATCAACAGTCCACAAAAGTAGAATTGAAACTGATGAAACTGCTCAGTAAAATACTATAAAAGTTAGTAAGGGGCATTTACGAGATGTTTCTCAAAATAGGAAAACTAGTAGGAAGGTAAATATAAAAGTGTCCTTATTTGTGTTTCAATCTAGTTTTAGCAAGAATTATAGCAATTCTGAGTGCCAAAGTAATCATATCAACTCCCTGTCAAGGGCCACCAGCTGAATATTTCCTGTGAGCACTTGGATCTGGAAAAAAATAAAGGGTAAGCTAACTGTAGTTTGGTTTTAGTGTGCATTTACTATAGCCTTTCACACGGGAATAAAGAATAAACATGTGTTCACCTCTTCACCTGAAACAAGAAAAAAGAAAAAAAGAGAATTATAGCAATTCTGAGTGCCAAAGTAATCATATCAACTCCCTGTCAAGGGCCACCAGCTGAATATTTCCTGTGAGCACTTGGATCTGGAAAAAAATAAAGGGTAAGCTAACTGTAGTTTGGTTTTAGTGTGCATTTACTATAGCCTTTCACACGGGAATAAAGAATAAACATGTGTTCACCTCTTCACCTGAAACAAGAAAAAAGAAAAAAAGAGAAAGCAGTTCACAGCAACACGTTATGAAACAGGACAGGAATTCCTTGTTTTCTGTTCTGATACCTTCTGCTATCACCTACTGTTTCAATAAGCAGAAAATATTTCTGTTTCTGATCACCATTTTCTTCTTTAACTGCCAGTGATGGTGAACAGATCTAACAGATTTTAGTCCTTAGTAAAATCCAATATGGACATTTTAGAGGACTACTGCTGTTTCTAAAATACAAGGCCATTTTTTCCACCCAGCACTTTGTTCCCCATTCTCCACTTCTCACTTGTCTCAAGGAAAAGTTTGTGTTGGATGGGTTGGATAAATATCTACCAGTAGCAGTTTTCTGGGGGTTTGTTTTCCTACCAGTGCAGTTTTTCAGTGGGTTTTTTTTGTTTTGTTTTGGTTTGGTTTTTTTTGGGATTTATTTGGTTTTTATTTGGTGATGTTTGGTTTGATTTTTTTACACATGTAATAGAAAAAGTTATTCACAATATCAATATAATTCATATAGTCACTCATTACTTCAAAATATTTATTTGGTTTTTATTTGGTGATGTTTGGTTTGATTTTTTAACGTATGTAATAGACAAAGTTATTCACAATATCAATATAATATAATTCATATAGTCACTCATTACTTCAAAATTCACAAATCTATGCAATGGGCTAGTCTGTGAATTACTTAAACATCCTGAAAAAAATCACTCACCAGTATTTTCGTGAGAGAAACATTCCAGACTTGTGTAGGTAAAGAAATTTTAATATGTCAAGTTCAGTGTAACTAAGATTAGATAATGCTAAAGCAAATTTGAGGAATACTCTGCATGAGAT